CGTTGCTGAACTGAACGGCTCTGATGTTCCACCCCAGAAATACGCATGAATATCATTTAAATTTTTGTTCTTACTGGGATCCATTTCTGTATGTATTTCATGATCAGGCTATTTTTAGCCGCTGATTTTATACAGCACTGAGCGACAAATTATGATGAATATGCGAAAATCTGAAAGGATACGGCCGTGGTATATTTCAGGACTGCTCTACCAGTCATCGCACAAATCACGCAGTAGTAACGTAATCTGAATCTCGATTCTCCCAGTAACTTAATGCAATAGCAATGTTAAAGAAATGAGTGTAGCTGATTCATGCAATGTATAAAGCAATATTAAATATAAACACAAACAGAAACATGTTATACTTCTTCTTTATTACGCCGTCTCCTTTACAGGAGGTTGGCGACATATTATGAACAGGATCCTTCCATCCTTTTTCTCGGACTGGGACCTGTTCATATACGTTCTTGGCAGATGATCCAGAAGTGGTTTGCCATTGCCTTCTTCTGTGTGTGAATGGAGTAATTGTTGGGATGCCACGGAGGAAAACTCCGTGTTGCCTAGACCACGGATTTGCCCAACACAAGTTATAGTTTCGGGCACCGCCGGCAATCGAACCCGAGACCCCAGGATTACAAGGCCAGCGTTCTAACCTCTAGACCACAGTGTACTGTCACAAAATTCCCCTGGAGATAAAAGGAAACATAGATGGTCCTGTATATATCTGACCCAGATTCGAAGTGTGAACCTTCTAAAGCGAAGTCTGTATCATTATCGGTTTGTTAACAGGGAATTATAAAGTAAAGAGGTTGGACAAGGTCTCTGGTGGGGTGACGTAAAAGCGAAGAATGAGAAAGTGTGTTAATTGCTGCCTACAATATTAATGAAGGACTACTCATTAGAGTAGAAGCCTGAAGAGGATAATTGTATTTCATTCTCACAAGACTTAGCGTCTCTCACGATTTGTCTCGCTACGGGAAAATAAAATACGGCTATAATTGTTGTGAAATCTTTAATGTGAACGGTCATGTACGATCTATTCTCTAAGAAAATTTTATAAAAATGGTAACTGTGCTCTTGGTTGTAGCGCCATGTAGTCTGATAGAAGTTTACGAACGTTTTAGAGCAGTGGTTTCAACCTGGGGTACGCGAAGACATCTTAGGGGGTACGTGAAATTTAAAAAAAAATATATTTTTTTATGATAAACACTGAATAATCAGTAATGTAATTTATTTAATTTATTTTAAATGTAGATTATATACTATGTATAACTTGAATTATACACCAACAACTTTGGGGGTACAAAGTTGGAAGAGAAATTATATCTGGGGGTACACGAACAAAAAAGGTTGAATACCAATGTTTTAGAGGTCCTTGTTGCATCTCATCGTTCTGATGACGGAGGCAGAAAGGACCTCTGTAACGTCGGTAAACTTCTATCAGACCACATGGCGTTACAACCCTGAAGCCATCTTCCCTACCATGAGAAACTCAAATTGTAATTAATTTAATTATAATTTGTTCTTAGTAGGCATAATTGCTGAGTATTATTTCCACATAAATGATACTGCTATTTAAAAAAAACATTTTAGTATACAAATCTAGAGCCTTTGGGGCATAACCTAAAATTCCGCTGCAGTTAAGTTTTACTAAGTTTGATTACGCGACTTTTTATTGAAGTGACGTGTTTCGTTTTGATTAAAATCTTCGTAACAAGTACGAAAGAACACAGACATTCAGACTGCGTATATAACCAATTAATGGAAGAATGTTCTCAATCTGTGTATATGCCGAGATGCCAGAGCAAGACCTCCGTACATTTGAAAGCATCATCAGTCCTGCTATTCCATAGCGTTAACAAAACATTCAACTCTTGAACCTCAGAATCGTTTCAGTTAACATCTGAACACGATTAGCAGCTGCTTTTAGAGACAGATTTTCAGCGTAAGCGTTAAAGCCTTATTAGATGGAGTGTTAGTGTGAGATAGAAACAGGTCTGGCCCACAAGAGATGTTTCAAATTCAAGTTTAACAAGAATGGATCGAATTTAGTGCATGTGTAATAAGTATGTGTGTCATGCAATTCCACGTTAACGCGGGCCTAGTCCCATGCCATTTCCAAAATAGGGTGGGGGGGGGGAGACTTTTCTCTAGCTACCAACTGCAGACGCGTCAGCGAACATTAAAATTTAATGTTGATGGTGAACCTAAATATTAGAAGACGAGAAAGCCTCGTCAGAGGCTCTGTGATACATTGTGACGAAGCTCAAGTGTAACTCATAAGGTCTTTAGTACATACAGAGGCCCGAAGGTTTCGGATTGTGCTATTAGTAAGTCACAAGAACATTAAAAGCAAAATATATTAAAATAATTAATTTCATTTCAGTTCATTTGACAACAGCCAAGCACTAAACCAGAGTACAGGATAAAATATGATAAATAATTAAATTAATTTCAATAATAATAAATGTAAAACATTACAAATACAAAAACGAATGAAACTAAATATATAAATGTACCATAATAATTCAATTCTTTTAATAATAATAATAATAAAAATAATGTTGATTATGATAATAATAATAATAATAATAATAATAAAAGTAATCCCAATAATTATAGGGGCAACTGGAACTGTCTCCGAGTCACTCAGAAAATATTTGGCCAACATCCCGGGCGATCACGACGTCAGGGAATTTCAGAAGACCGCCATTTTAGGATCTTCATACGTAATTCGAAAGACGCTGTCGTAAAATATGTAGTCATCTCTAACAATAAAATTATATAATACATGTAACACGTGTTAAAAACAAAATGTATTTCGGAAATAGCTGCTGCACTATGTACCTTAGGGACAAGGTCTGTCTCGAGTGCATGGAAGTAAATATCCTGTAAAGTGGTGATTAGATGGAATAATAATACCACTGAATGTGTGGAAAAACTTTTAAAATTCATATCCCTAACCGTGATCATATTTTCATCTGAAGGTCTATTAAATGCAAAGTTTTAGGATCTCCTCTTGCGCATTCTGTAACGTTAGGTTAGTCGATCTACTCTACTGCTACCGTTTTTTCTATTTAGAAAAGCAAAATTTAGTTTTCTCCATGTTGTTTTATTATATAAAGAAAAGTACGCGACAGGTTTCGAACCCGCGGTTCCTAATGTCTAAAGTCGCCCGTGGTCGTGGGAATCTTATAGAACGTCGATGATAAATACGAATGTGGTGGTCAATAAAGTCTGATAAAGAAGAAAGCGTTTGATAAACTGTTTTAATGTATGCTCCCGGTATTTAACTACAAATAGTGAAGATCAGAAAATATCTTTGTTATAATAATACAGGGTTATTCAAAAATATTGTCGGGGTTTTGTGAATTTTTGTGGGGCAATGCATTCAACATACGACTATTATCATTACACTGGTGGATAGAGAAACTCTCAAAGTTTTGTTCTGTACCGCCCGCTATCCAGTAGTTACGCGTTTGGCCGCCAGGTGTCATATTTTACAATATGGCGGCTAGCGGTAAGGAGAAGGCTTTTTGTACTCTCGAATATCATCAAAGTCGGTCCGTTACCATTGTCCAACGGCACTTCCACACGAAATTTGGGAAGGATCAAGTATCTGTCCTCCCTCTACCTGCGAAGGTACGTATCAGAGCCGCCATTCTGAACATCACCGCTGACACGCTGGGGCGTGTGTGGGAAGAAATGGACTATCGTGTAGATGTCTGTAGATTGACAGAAGGCCCACATATTGAGCATTTATATGCATGTAAAAAAAACTTTTAAGAGTTTTGCTACACAATAAAGCAAGATTGGTATTCCTACCTCAATTGCACTACGTGTAGTGATTTTTTAAAACTCCGACAATGTTTTTGAATAGCCCTGTATATCTGTGAGAGATTCTAATTAGTGATATTCAGAATCAAAGGAAACGTGGCATCCATTACATCGGTTTATGCATTTCGATTACGATGGTACTGAAATACTACTGGAGCATCCTTGTTCAGCTGTCTGTAACAAATAATTTGCTCGCAGAAATATAATAATTATTTTTTACAAATATTTCCAGCAGAGAAATTATATAGCTACAAAATAATACTTCGGTAATAACTACACTAGGATTCAAACATGTCGGTTTGGTACAGACTGGCGTCATTTAAGAACAGACCCAAAATGCACATTTTTTTAGTTTAAAGCAAAAACTGTGTCTCTACGTTTACCTTTTTTTTCGAAATCGGTTTTCGACTTATTTAAAACGCAGCGGGAGTCAGGATTAATGGACATTGGGCTGTTCGTTCGTACCATTACTGGGTATAATACCAGGTGATTCAAAAAGGACTTTACAACTTTGAAAGTGTATAGGAATTTATTCAGAAGGCATACAGAATCGGTTGAGGTGTCATTTTGTAGCAAAACAAATCAAGTTTGACTCACGTTGTGCCGTAGTACCGAATTCCGTCACCGGGAGCGCAAACGGCAGTGCATTTGAAAATGGTTCGAAAATTTTCTCATACCACAGTTAGACGAAGATGACCAAAAAGGACGCATTCACTTCCAGCAAGACGGCGCACCACCTCACTACCTCACAGAAGTCCGGGATTTCCTCAATAACCGTTTCCCAGG